TGAAGTCTATTCCCTGCATATGCAGCCTCTCCTGTTACTCCTCACAGGGCGTGGCCTTAAACATGCATGCAGTTTTCATGAATACCAGAGGTGATTGCCCTTTTAGAGAGGCGCTCTTACTCTCTTTCCTTGCTTTCCTCTATAAGCTTTAGCCCATCTGCTTTGACTTTTATCAGATCCAGCTCTTCCCTGTCTCTAGTTGCTGGCTGATAGTGCTATTGTTTTTAATAATACCCTGGAATGCACAGATAGCTAGCTCCACAGTCTGATCCAGCTAGAGCTGAGCTCCTTTCTAGGGGCAGGATGCTGGAAATCTTTGAAGCTTGTTCTGGTACCCCTACCCAGGTCTCTTCTCATCTGTCCCTTTCCCTGATTCTGTCTCTTGAACATCTAGTTAATCTACTGTTTCTGCTTCTATCTGGCTACCCTCTGTCTTGATTCTGTTTTTAAACTTTTATTGCCGAAAATGTCTAAAACATGTTTTTGATATAAAATATACTGTAATCAATGGGGAGAAAGAGAGGTGAAGGGATAGAGAGGAAGAAGTAGAAAGAGGAAACTAGAATTCATCGCTGACTTGTGCATCCACAGTATTTAAAACTCAATTTAGAAGAAAAGGCATCCTATAGCAGGCAGGGAAGGAAGGGTGCCTCTTTAAATTTGACATCCAAATTTTAGAATGAAGATTAAAACAAACCCTTCTAGGATTATGGTGAGTAAAAAGAGTGAGACCAAAGAGATTGGTTTACACAAAAGGAAAATTATGCCCTCTGGGATCCTAGATGAGTGAGAATTACAGATGTGGAGCTTAAAAAGTAGGAGGGAGGGGGGTGGGTGTGATTATTTTGTAATAGAACCTCCCCTTTTTGCCAACAATATAGATAAGGAATCTTTTCTTTTTAAAGACTTTTTTTTTTAAAGATTTATTTACTTATACAGCCAGAGGTGCGGGGGCGGTGATAGGATTCACCAGAGACAGAGTGGGGAGCAGAACAGGCAGATGGAAGAAGTACTGCTGAGGGGAGCAGTGGACAGATCAGGAGAGGTCTGCCACGCCATGCATGTGGATGCTACAGTGGCTTTAGCTTCTTAGTGCTGTGCTTTAACCCATTGCGCCACCAGGGAAGGCCCAGATAAGGAATCTTACAGACTCCATGTACATCACTATAGCTGACACAGAATCACACTGACCAGAATCTCATTCCCAGTATTAAAAAAGTTTCAGTTTTATAATTTTTCTCAGTTTCTGGTACATAGTGGACACGAGAAGTTAAGAGTTGAAATTTCCAGATAAAAACATATTTTATCATTACTTGATATTACCTTTGAGCTATTTTATAATAAATATTATAGACCCTTTATTTGTCCCAAACTCATGGAAGCACATAATTCCTGGTAGAGTACTATATTTTAAATTTTATCTAATGTTCACTGATATGCAGAAGATATATGGATTCAAAGTTACATCATTGTCTAGAGCCCAGTGTGATGCTCTTCTTTTAGGGCAGACTTGCAACAAGGAAGCCAGAGAGGTTAAAAACGAAATATATTTATATCCTGTATGACTCCCTTCTCTTAATTAGTTAATTAATTTAACAAGTATTTATTGAGCATTTATTGCATATCTACTATGTGTCAATTACATAGTTCTAGAGTTTGAGAACATCAATAACTTCATGGACCTTACATTCTAGATTTATTACTTCATGGACCTTACATTCTAGAAGGAGGGGTTAAATAAACACATAAAGATAAGCGAGTAACATATAATATGTTAAATGATAAATTTTATGGAAAATATTGAAACTAGAATAAGGTTAGGGGAATCAGGAGAACTAGAGGTAGGGGAGAAAGTTGCTATTTTAAATAGAATACTCAACCTCATTGAGAAGGCTCCCAAGAGTAAAATGACTTGTTTATAGTCAATTGGCACTAATTACTGAATGATAGAGAAAGATTTGACTCTAAGTTCAGGTCTCACTCTTTTTCCAAAGTAAAAGGTCACTTAAGAGTGTTATAGAAGGACTCAGGAAGGAAATGCATCACTCCACTCTCCCCTAGCCAGTGAGGCAATGGACAGACAAGTAGTAGACAATTAAAGAAATACAGGTTCCTGGCTGGAGTCTAGACTGAGCACAGCTTTTAAAACATGTTCAAAGCCTAGAAAAAACACATCATGGAGGGAATGTGCAAAAGAATAGTGAATGTATAGTAATAGTGGCTTATAAAACACACACGTGGATACATCCTTCAGCATTATTAACTCTCCCCTACAGCATGCTTTTGATAACTGGATTACTTAGAGCTATAGACAAGCACAGGGTACTTCTTATAGGATTTATTTTAGATTTAGGAGATTTAAAGTCTGAAGTAAAATAGATTTTTGTTGACCAGGTCATATAAAAGCTGTCATTCAGTAAAGCTTTTCTAGTTTTTGGGTGACATTTTTCAGGAAAGAATGTTGCAAATAATTTTTCTTTTTTGCCCTTACCAACAAAAGACCCTTGCATTTCAGAAGGGAAGGAGGATGTTGAGGGAAAGAGATTGTCTTTGCTGAGGACTTTGTTGTACCAACAGAGGGCCCTTTTTAGAATTTTTTGTTTATGGGCCTCAGGAATAAATGTATGTTGTGGCCACAGTCTGGGTAAACTTAGTCACACAAGTGAATTCAAAGCAGGGAAAAGAAGTAAGGACTCATGGAATAGATGATTCTGATGATGCTCTACAACTCATAAGCCTTATAATTTTAAAGAAAAATTAATATTAGAAATACCTTCCTCATTTCATTAATGTGCCACTTAAGACCATAATAGGTGATGTGTGTTATCCAAGGTGACACTTGTATACCTAACTTGTTGGCCAATGTTTTAGTTCACCAGAGTTCTATCATATGTAAGTTTCAGTTATAAAAATTTCAATTATGTGCATATGGCAAGGAGGAAAACCTGTAAAATTTTATTGCCATATACATAATTTATCATTGTGTGTATACTATACATTATCTCATATAAAGCTCTTAGGCATATTATTATATAGGGTTATAAGTATAAAATCATATATACTGTGCTTTTAGGGTTATTTAAGAGGTTTTCCAAGGGTGATTTTGGCTATAAATGATTTACATCTCATATAGGAATTTAAAACTTAATCTCTTCTTTATAAAGCACCACTCCTGATGTTCCATGTTTCCTCTTTCATTGTACTAAAGGACAAGTTAAACATTCATTCACAATACAGCCAACAAATGTTATTTTTGTTATAAACACAGCAAAGTAAATGGGTTCCATTGTATTTATTTGTATGGTAGGGTTGTGCCAATATTGGAATTCAAGTGGGGAGAAAGGAGAATTCTGGTCTGAATCTTTGAGTGGTTTTAATTCTCACTTCAGTCACAAACTCTGCATGGCTCTGGTTATGTTCCTGGTGCAGGGTTTCTCTGGCTCTGACCAGGTGCTTATCATTCCAGAGTTCTGTCAGTTCTGTTCTTCTCTCCTCCTCACTGTCTTTCCCTTCACATACTTCTTGCTCCTCTTCAATACCAAACCTACAGAGAAGTGTACATTCAGGCTTATTGAGGCAGTCATTTCTGGTCCTCTTCTTAAGACCTACTAGAATAACTGCTCAACTTAATATGTACACTTTTTTTCGCCCTTACAAGAAACATGTAGAAAATACAGACCATTTTAATCATAGTCTATTGGAACTTTGAAATACTTTATAAGTGTCGGGAACTTTCTCCCTACCCCTCTGTGTTCTCAGGCTGGTTGAACAATCACATTAACGTCAGACAGATGAGTAGGAGAAAATAACAAATTTAATTATGTGTGTATGTGTGGAGAATTTTCACAGCTTCCAAAGCTAGTGAAGCAAAGTGAGGTAGCCTGAACTAAGGAATGGAATACAGGCCTGGGGACCTCAAGGAAGGGGTGGGAGTGGCGGCTCCGCACGAGGAAGAGAGGTGACTCATGATGATGAAGACCAGCTGTTCTGTAATTACATGTACGCCCTGCCATAAAGATGGGTTTCTCCAATAGAAAATTATACTGATAAAAACCCAAATTCTGAGAAATACTTTCAATTTCCATTCTTCTAGGTAGTTAAGGGGGTAATAAATGTTCCCCTTGAACCTACAGAGGCTCAGTTAACCTCAGCTTGAAATACTCCACAGTCCAAAGTGATGCCTCTCAGGGAAGTCTGATTTGAACATCTTGGCGAGGCCTCTCCTTCACAAGTCATCTGGCCCAAATTCCTGATTTTAAAAGTTTTGAAAATAAGACCGGAACAGTTTCCTCAAGCTTGCAGAGCTTCAGTGATAGAGCTAGTTTTTCTTACTACTGCTTACATTCTTATAGAAGTTTAAATACATAAACATACATTGCACAGAGCACAAAAAGGGAGTCCTCATTTTTCTATGAGAAGTATTCTTAGAGAAGTAGATCTTCAGCCAGAAGCATCAGTTGGCCTGCACTTGTCTCTTTCAATACCAGAAGGAAATGTTTTATTAAAAAAATACTTGCAGATTTAGTAGAACATGTGGAAACCATTCAGTAGTGAAATGTGTTACCCAAACTGAGAATGTACTTAACAAGGGAGTAAAAAGTAAAAAAGTAAAGGATGTGCTTTGGGAAGTATTCTTGTATAAATAGTTGTCTATGTTTATGATGGAAAGAAAGCAAGAAGAAAAAAAGAAAAAAAGAAAGAAAGCTTATTCATTGCTCAGTAGACAAAAACCAGAGTCAAAGCTAAAGCTGGGATACCTTCTTATCTTTTTGAACATATTACGAACACCGAATGTGTGTACTTTGTGGGGATCTACTTTCTGCTTTCAACTTGACAATGGAGTTATTTTAAGAGAAAAGACCAATGTAGATTCAGCAATTGTGAAACAATCGTGGTAAGATTTTTATAGATCAAAAAAAGAAAAGAAAAACACAGGCAAGGGTGATTCTTCGTGGCTCCTAAATATTGCTATATTGGTTATTGGGGATGAACAGAAAAGGATTACAGCGACTATAGGCAAATGAAAATTATTCTGGAAAAGATTAATGGTGGAAGTTGAGTATGAAACAGTTTTGAAGGAAGCATTAGGAATTACTAGACTTTGGAGTAATTTGAGTTAATATTTCTGGCAAGTAAGTTGCAATCTAGAAAGATAAACTCACCTGTAGGGTGTAATGTAATCTTATTTGTTGTTCCAAGGTTGTCGATATTCTGTGGAGTGATCCCAGAGGCAAAAGGGGCTGCTTCCCCAACACAAGTAGAGGAGGGGGCTGCTATTTTGGACCAGATATTACATCCAAGATTCTGAATAAATTCCAGTTGAAGTTGCTTGTTAGATCTCATGAATGCAAGCCTGAAGGGTATGAAATTTGTCATGACGGGAAGGTAAGCTGATGTTACTGGTGACATCATCATCAACTCCTGCCCCTCAAGCATCGTCTTTCTGCATAAGATGTGTCTGATCTAGAGGCCCATGGGAAGATGCCTTCCTGATACCAAAGCAAAAGGCCTGCTTTGGTGAACAGAAACAGGAGACTCTAGGGCTCACATTGGCTGTTTAAACGGGCCTCACTGCCTCTCATCCTAAGAGATATTTGGCTTATTTCCCCGATTGTCTCTAATCCTGGAAACAGACATTCTGACACATGGCACTAAATACATACACCGAAAGGTTTGTCCTTTACTAATCTCAAGGTAACTGCCTAGTACAGTGGGCTTAACAATACTTAGTTGCACAGAGCACATAAAAGGCAGCAGTGAATTGAGTTTGTTCTCTTCTGCCTGTTGACCCTTCCTTGTTAGGGCAAAGCCACAGATCATGCTTCCTCCCACATGCTGAGTAGGCAGTCTCTCACAAGTGAGCTGCTAGGGTCAGTGTAGCTGCAGCTGCCAGAATAGAGTGCCTTGTGCTCCTGCAGTGGTGTATGATAAAGGCTGAGGGATGGTCTCCTGTTCCAAGTTGTCCCAGGATGCCCCTTTTAAAAACAGGTAACAGCAATAAGTAAAAATGAACACCAAACTACCTGGCATTTCATTCTATTTCAGCATTTTATATTAATACTAGTCACTCATTTTATGCCAAAGTAACTTTGCAAGATGGTTAAGTGTTTTTTATGGTTTCTTTGTAAGAAGAAAATGGAGAGAAATAATGTGCTCGTAGGGCAGAACTGGATCTAAGCCGGTTTCCTGTCACTGACAAGTATGGCCTTCCCACGCTCCACAAGGTTCTAGGCCTGGTTCCTTGCAAAGAGAGTAGTCGGCCTCCCTTATTCTATTCTCTTATTCTAGCTCTCTTTTAGTACTAGTTGAGCTTTTACAATTGGCTTTGTGGGGGCCTGAACCCTCTAAATCAGTCAGCTCCAAACAAAAGGAAAGGACTGTGACTAGACAAGTTTCATTTCAAAAATGCTCAAATATCACAGGAAATAAGGTTTTACTCTCTTGGAAAATAAGAGTCTGCAAACTGAGCACTAAGGCAAATTCTAAGATATGGAACTGAAATGTACATTGGACTGCAGGGATGCCCTGTGGTGACTAGAAATTCCTGGGGACAGTGACTTAAAAGCCTCGTTTCTCTTCGATGGAATCATAGGAAATCACGTCAGACTGGGATAATTTGCAGGGATTATGTTTGATGTTTGATTTTTGCGTTTTAAGAATTGACCTATGCCTGACTTTATTGAATGACCTTTTGAGAACTAATTCTATGTGAACTTGGCATTCTTTGTCTTTTATCAGGTTATTACTGTATTTTCTGCTTCTAATTATTATGAAGAAGGCAGCAACCGAGGCGCTTACATCAGAGTGTCTTCTGGTACAACCCCTCGATTTTTCCAATACCAAGTAACTAAGACAACATGTGCCAGGCCTCTTTATCAAAGGTACGTATACTCTAATAATACTGATGACCAAGTATAACCAGTCTGGAGTGACTAAGAGCAGCCGCAGGAGAGAAAACATCTACTTATTGTATGCTCATTAGAATAAATAAAGTGGAAATAGTTCGAGACACAAAGTGATGTATGAGCTCATCTTTGGAGCCAAAAGGAGGGATTTTCAATTTATGCATCTTTTTGAATAAAGCAGTCAGAACAAAGAATAGTCCCGAATTGAATGTGGAGAAGGCCCCGCACTCACCCAGTCTTACAATCTGTGGCCTTCTCTGCCACCCAGACAGCCCAGTTTGCTCTAACTCTTCTCTACCCAGAAGTATATGGGACTGAAGGAGTTGACCACACCCCTGTATGATGACATTTAACAACTTATCTTCCTTTTCTCCCTTTGATATGACTTGTTTTAGGCATTTATATTATAAAACTAATATCTTTATTATTAACAAGTGAACAAAACAAAGATGATTAAAGAAAATACGATCTTCTCTCCCTCTGCTCCTCAATAATCCTTTTTTCAAGAGGTAACTGAAATTAACAGCCTGGAGCGGACCTTCTACTCTCCTCTTCTTCTACAGAAACAGACGACAGTTATTCATCATTGAATAGAAAATTTTTTGAGCCCTTACTATGTGGCAGACACTGTTTAGGTACAGGTGATATAGCAAAAAGCAAAATAGACAAAAGTCCTTTCCCTCATCAGACACACATCTAATGGGAGAAAGGTAGCCAACAGTATACACACATCATTTTTTTTTAAACAGAATCACACTACACACACTATTCTACAATTGACTTTTTTTCTTAAGGATTATATCATTAACACTAGGCCAAGTGAGTACACAAAGACCTAGCTCATTCTTTTTAACAGATGTTTAATATTCAGTAACATACATGTGACATAACAGTTATTGAGTGGCTAGATCTTATTCAATTAATGGCCCTCCAGGTTGGTTTCGGGACTCTGCACTTTAAAACAATGCCTTAACAAACATTCTTCTGTTTGTGGCTATGTGCACATACATACATATATCCATAAGTTTTAGTGCTTTTTATTATCAAAGATTTTGAAATGTGGGATTTATGGATTTATATGCTTAAAGTTTTGCTAGATACTCCGAAAGATTTATAACAATCTGAAAAACAGTGAATCAGTTTCTCCATACCCTCAGATATTATTATGTTTCTTAATTTTTGCCAAGCTGATGAACAAAAATGATGCTTTTCGTTGCTTTAATTAGCATTTTTTAGACAGCTGAACCTGCCCTTCTTATGTTTTTGGACATTACATTTTCTCATCTTTGAATTTCTTGTTTATATTATCCTTCATTTTATACCGGATTGTTGGTCATTTTCTGGATGAAAATTGTTTTGTTGGTCACTGATTTTTAGGAGTTCTTTGCATATAAGGGATAGAGGACTTTTATGGACATGCTGCATGTATTTTGTTGGAGTCTTTTTGCTTTAGTTCTATTACATCACATTTTGTTATAATTTCTTATAATTTGATCATAACCGTTGGATTCCACTTATGTTAAACAGTATCCATCCGATATTTATATACATTGTATATAACTTAACATAAATGCACACATAAAAATTAACCACATGTCAATCCACATATACATTTACACATGCATGTAAACATATACATATAAATTATTAATGTAAATATATGCACATGTATAAATTTATGTTAACAGCATTGAGATTTATTTCACATACTATAGTTTACCGATTTAAAGTATGCAATGATATTTAGTGTACTTACTAATTATGTGACCATTACCATATTCTGATTTTTTAATATTTTGGCTGTCCTAGAAAAAACTTGTACTCATTCGCAGTCACTAGTCACCTTCCCCCATCACAACTTTCATATATTTTGTATCTTTGACACTAACGTGTGTCTCCTATAGGTAACAAATCTGGTCTCACAATCTCAATTTTTTTACTTGATTATTTAATCCACTTACATATGATGTTATTATTAATATGATTGGATTTATATCAACCATTTTGTTTTGGTGTGGTGGTATATGATGCATAATCACTTTGTTCTGTTCCTTTTTTTTTTTTTAAAGATTTATTTATTTGTGCATACAGAACTGGGATACAGGCCAGAGGCTCAGGGGTGGTGAGAGGCTTCACCAGAGACAGAGAGTGGGGAGCAGAACAGGCAGATCGACGAAGTACACTGCTGAGGGGAGCAGCGGGCGGGTCAGGAGAGGTCTGCTTCAAGATGTGGATCACCGCCGGGGCAGGCGGGAATTGAACTCATGCAGAGGCGGCTTTTAGATTCTCAGTGCTGTGCTTTAACCCGCTGCGCCAACAGGGAGGGCCTGTTCCTTCTTTATTTTGAGTTTATCTTCATAAACTTTCTGAAGTAGAAATTTAGCATCAAGACAATTAGCTAACTATGCTAGCACCATTTTAAAAACTCATCTTTTTCTACAGAATGGTAATGCCTCCTTTGTTGCATACCTTGTTTCCATTTGTAATTTATTATACTTATGAAATTTCTATTATGTTGTACTCATATATCTGTCTTCTTATGTGTCAGTACCTGTTCTTTTGTTTCAGTAACCATATAGTAAATTTCAATATCTGATATCGAAACTCCCTCTTTATTTTCCTTCTTTTCCAGAAATTTCCTGGATATTCTCAGATATTTATTGTTCATGTGAATCTTTGAAACATAAAAGGAATCACTAGTTTGTTCTTTAAATTTTCAGAAAACATGCACATATATACATACACTCATGATATCATGCTGTATGTGAAGTTAGGTAATTCATTTAAAGTAAAAGCTTGTTTAGTGTTAACACATTAAAACAAAACAGAATAGAATGATTTATGAAACTTTTACTAATAATTGTTTTCTTAACATAGAGTGCGAATTATGGAAAGTAGTGCCATCAGGATATTAAAAGAGAGAATGATTTCACGAAAAACTGACCTTGTTTATGCTTTCCAACTTCAAGACCGCAATAAATCAGGTAAGAAAATTATATAATGCATTTCTTAACATACCAGGTTACATATTAATCAGTTTTCATTTTCTTTGTTTCCTTAAGATCACGGTTCTCTATTTTTACTAGCAAGGAATGATAGACATAAAAATAAAATTAACCCATTGTATGCATAGGAGAAGGCATATTCCTCCTTTTTAGTAAGTTTCTTTCAAGGTAAAACAACAACCCTGAATTAAACCTCAATTCTAGTAGTATTTCAGACTAGAAACTTTGGCAGACACCCACCACACCACCCCCTACCCCCCCTGCCCGCAGGCCCACTCCACCATTAACAGCTAGGTTGGAGAGAATGGAAAATTTTAGTGCGTTTACCAGTCTTGCAGTAAGGAAGGTAAAGCTGAGGCTACCTCTCCTCTCCTTTCCCCCCCAAGAAAGGCTATTGAAATCATTTGTGGGAGTTGAGCTGCAGGCAAACAAACAAAAGGTTGTATTGTCCTGGGGGCAACTGCTAAAAGTATTTTAGTAATCCTGAGACTAATCCTGGGATAAGCAGAATTTGAGTTTTCCACATTAAGCCTGGACCCTCAAAGTGGAAAAGTAGCACTAGGTCTGTAGTGCCCCGGACTCTTAGCAAATGCAGATCCATCTTCGTGGGAAAACATCTCTAATTTTGGCTACTGGGTTATCCAGACATGAAGATCAACCAGCAGGAGCTCACAACCAAACATCACCAAACAAGCTACTATGAGTGATTAGCAGGCCCACCAAACAGCTGCTTTAATTCCCCAAGGGCATCAGCTATCAGAATTACCAAAAGCAAAATAAAATTAAGTAATTTTTTTTTTTTTAAAAAATGACATCATAAACATGCATTTGAAATGATTTGAAGAACCAAACAGATATAAAAATATAATTGTTAAAAAAAAAAAACATAATGGGGCCTTCCCTGGTGGTGCAGTGGGTTAAAGCACAGCACTAAGAAGCTAAAGCCACTGCAATACGAGTTCGATTTCCACCCTGCAGGTGACTCTCATGGTGTGGGAGACCTCTCCTGACCTGCCTGCTGCTCCCCTCAGCAGTATACTTTGTCAGTGGGCCTGTTCTGCGCCCCACTCTGTCTCTGGTGAATCCTCTCACCGCCCTAACACCTTTGGCCTGTACCCCAACTCTGTGTGCATAAATAAATAAATCTTAAAAAAAAACAATATAATGATAAAAGTGGAGCTTCGATATGATCCAGCAATCCCACTCTTAGGTATCTATCCAAAAGACACAAAAACACTGATTCAAAAATACACCTTGACCCCCATGTTTATTGCTGCTTTATTTACAATAGGAAAGACATGAAATCGACCCAAATGCCCAAAAGTTAGATGACTGGATTAAAAAGATGTGGTACATATATACAATGGAATATTACTCAGCAATCAAAAATATAAACTCATGCCTTTTTCAGCAACATGGATGGAGCTGAAAGGGATCATGCTTAATTAAATAAGCCAGAAAGAAAAAGAAAAATACCGGATGGTTTCACTCATAGTGTTACAGGGCACCCCAGTGTGAATTGGGTTGCCTGTCTGTGGGTCTTCACCCGTGCGATTATGATTCAATCATATTATGGACACACTCAAAAGGTTAAAATAATGGATTTATTTATAAGGAGAAAGGTAAAGGAATAACCCAGGGAAAGAGGGAGAGAAACACAGGTTAACTAGGATGTCCTACCAGTTCTGCTGACTTGGACTCCACCGGCACGCTGAAAACCGATTGAGCGCCAAAACGATCAGCTGCAAACCACCAGGTCGCCCCCAGAGCCCACATGTCCGGTTTTATCCCAACCTGGCTGCTCAGCTCCGCCCTCACGTCCCCAGGTGGCTTTTTCTTGGTACTGATGGGATTTGGAGTTCCAGCATCTGGAGTAGGGGCAGAGTCCATGAAACCTGTACCTGTCACAATAGCAGGAGCATAGGGGGCCAGGGAGGAAAAAATAATGAACAGCTATATACCAAAGACATTTTACCAGGGTGAAGTGGGGAATGGGATCAAAAATGGGGGGGGGGGAAGTGCATGGGACTATGGTGATGGCATACAGGTGAATTGGTAATGGGAAGTCCATGGGGATTGCAGCTGATGGAAAAAGACACAAAATGATGTAAAAATAATCTATTATAATGAAATTAAAAAAAAATAATTGAGTGGGTGAAAAAGATTAGACATTCAGGACAGATTATAAAGGGGAGCATGCAGCAACCAGGCTTGAAAACCCCAGGCTGCTCACTGGCTCCACCAAGGAGGCTTCATTTCTTTATCAAATTATCTTCTGACATATGTACTTTTGTTGTTGCTAGGAAAACTTTCTATGAGCCAATGGGCTTTTTCTATGGAGAATGTTTTGGGGCTGAACTTACCTTGGAGATCCTTGAGTTCACATCTGGTACAAACAGACATGAATGGAAATATTGACTACATGTCCAGCTTCCAGGATCTGCACATTATAAAACCTGTGAAAGAGGCAAGTAAGACACAGTCCCAGCTAAAATCTGGCTAGAGCGAAACACCCTTTGGATAACCTATAAGAGTGATCTAGATCTTTGAAAAGTTGGGAATGAGGTCATCTGGCTGTCTTAGGAAAGGTCTGAGGGGAACTTGCCGGCACATTGTGATCTGTTCAGGAATTGGGTGATTGTAAGGACAGACAAAAAGAAAAAAGAAGAAAAAGCTTCTGCAAACAAATCCATGTCAGATATGTGATTCTTTTTTCAAATGCTGTCCAGCAGAAAGGTGGATGTGAATCATAAAACATGCATTTATACAGCACACCCTTTAAAATACTCAGTGTATTCTCTGTGAACACGTGAGTGTATAGATTTTGAAATATCATGTACTGTAAATGTTGAAGATTTTTAAAATTTAGGATACCTTATTAAAATGGTAATGCCCTAGGGAGCATTGTCAGCCTCCCATGACTATCAGCAGTTATTATAACACTGAGCTGGAAGTGAGCTGATGGGAACTAGAACTGAAGTGATCGGGAGATGAGAATTTAAGAGCAGAACAAATGCAAGTGGGAGACAAAAATATCCACAGAAGGAGGCTCTGCCTTCACTCAAGAGGTGGTTTACCTTAGTGACTAAGCTCATTAAACCTTGGCTTCAGGCAGCTGCGATTCTAATCCCATTTATCAGCTGTGTGAACCTTGGAAAAGTTACTTTATCTCTGTTTTCTAATCTGTTAAATGGATATAATAGTAGTTCTGTTCTTTGGGGCTGGGCTTGAGGACTGCATGAAATAATCCACAGGAAGCGCTCAGTGTGGCGCCTGGCACTCAGGTGTTACCAGTAAAAGGTGTCTATTGTTATTCACCGCTTCCTGGTTGGTTTTGGCCCTGCCCCCTGCAGACATTTCAGAATGCTGGAGTCTGATTAAAGAGGGTTGGGCCTTCAGGTAAGGCCTATGTTCTCAAATATCTAGCTAGATTACATACACCGAATTGGCAATATTTTGTGTTTATTACATTTATGAAGATATTTATCAATTCTGTGTTTTAATGTTTATAAAATCTTTATTTTAGGCCCACTCTACCCTAGTTGAAATTCTGTACAGATACCGATCTGACCTGCAAATCATCTATAATGTCATTGACTCTGACCACTCAGGTAAATGAACTTGGTTAGATTAGTAGCAGTAGAAAGCAAAGGCTAGTCTATTTCTTGCAATCAGAACTCTGTTTCCATCTGTATTATTCTTCATTCTTGACTCAGTTCATGGAGGGGGCGGTAAACTCATGTTTAGTATTACTGTTATTTTAGTTTGGACATACATATTCTGTATATTTAGGACCATAAAATCCTACATAGGTATATATGTATCCATTAGTCAAACAGGAATAGCTTCTTTTATAAATCATCAGCACAGATGAAAATGTAATTCATTACCCATTTAAATGTCATCAGTATAGCAATAATAATCATTTGTAGAGCTCTGATTCTAGTGTTGGGGATTGGGGGGCTGTAGGTACTCATTTTTGGCTTAATTTTAAAGCATAACTACTTATTTTCAAACTTCCATAAAAATTGTGAGCTAATACCCAACTGCCAAGAGCATTGAGTGCCCAAAAAATCAATAATCACTGCAGAGAAGTAAATTATTACCTAAAAGAAATGTTAGTACCATCGCTTGCAGTCCTCTTCTGAGTGCTAGAGCATTTCCTTTCTCTGCTTTGATGTTGTCCTCCTCTCTCCTGTTCTTTTATGTCCTTCTACCTTACTTCACTTTTCCATTTCCTCCAGTGTCTTGATGGTCTGTTAGTGAGCTTCAGATTGGTACTAATCGAACAGTATTACTCCCCTCCCCTCCCCTCCCTTAAGTGAGTCTTAAAATGAACACTCAATCTGTCACCTATATTTTTTTAGGCCTGGTCTCCATAGAAGAATTTCGCTCCATGTGGAAACTTTTCAATAGTCACTACAGCGTGCATATTGAAGATTCCCAAGTCGATGAACTTGCTGAAAGAATGGACTTAAACAAAGATGGAAGCATTGACTTTAATGAGTTTTTAAAGGCCTTCTATGTGGTGCATAAACTGGATAAGTCAAAATCAGAAAGCAGCACTATTTAACAAGAATTAGGGCTTTCCCTCTTTAAACAGTAGGACCCAAACCATTGACACGTGTTTTCCAAGATCCTTAAAATTCATAATCAGTAGTCAAGAAAAGTAGATCCTAACTCCCTTTATACGCAGATGTGTGCTGTGGGTATTGGCAGTCCCTAGTTATCTGTTATTGGTAAGACTAAGTTAAATGTCAGCTGATAGCATTCGCTCCAGTGTTAGGACCCACACATTGGCAGATAGAAACTGGATTTGAGACTAGACATCACCTAGCCATGGAATCAGAATTTCAGAAACTTTGGAAAGAACCCACAGGGAAACAGAAAAGTGCAACATCTGTGAATGGCTACAATGGAAAGCTAAACTATTAATGGAATAAAATATTTCCCTCTGTAAATTGTAATCTTCTTTGGAGATACCGTAAGTCAATGATCCTGGAGGAACCACTGTTCAGGGATGGGGGTTATATCAGATTCTTGGAGAAAGTTTTGGGAATGTATTATTTGAAAAAGCATATACTTTTCTTGTCTGTTGGAAATACAAAGTGAACAACTTTACTTTAAGCCCTTACTGTTGATATAGTTTGACATCTTTATTGTAATATGGGGCCACGGTTATGCATACATAGTGCAGTTTATTCTTCTATTGTGATCAAATATCAAACATATTATGAGGTTTCTCTTTAAAGGCAAGGATACGTTTCTTTTTTCCCCTAAATTTGAGAACTTCAAGATCTATCATTATGCCATTCAGTTCAATATCCTGCAACCCTGCCTGCTGTTGACGACAGAAACATTACATAAAGTTAACAAATATTGTTTTAAATGGACAGTTGAAATGGCTAGAAACTAACAGAAACCCCTCAGGGGCAAGGAAAAAAAAGAGTGTAATAAAACTTCTGTAATTAATAGCAGAGTTAATGTTGGGCGGAATAGACTTTAAAGCAAAGGATATCATTAGGGATAAAAAAAGGTCTTTTATTTTTATTTATTTATTTATTTATTTTGCTATTCAGACATTTATCTCTCATCTACCAGCAATGATTTTGTTGTGTGCATTCCCCCCACTTACTTGAAATGCCACCTCTGTAATATAAACTCCCATATACACATGGGTCTGTCTCTCTTATAATCCACTGGTTTCTTTGGCCTGTCCTCGCACAGATACTACATGTAGCAAATACTACGACTGTGTTAATAGTCTCGATATCTGCTAGCATGATTCCGTCTCCTCCTCCCTCCCCTTTATTATTATGAAAAATTTCTTTGGTTCTGTAGTCCTCCATACATAATTTAGAATCTGTCAGTTCTGTCAAATCTCCTGCAGGATTTTGGTGAGAACTGCATTAAATTTATAGATTAATCTGAAGAGAATTGTTCTTTGTTGAGTCTTCCTAACATGAACCTAGAAGACTTGTTCCAATTATTTTAAATCTTCTCTAACATTCTTTAATGATTTCTCATCATTCTTCTATTTTTTTTTGATTGATTCCCAAATATATTATGGGATTTGTTTGTGTTTTGTTTGTTATTTTTTGGTTCTGTTGACTTGTTTCAATTCAGCTTAATCTTTTTTCATAGGACTTAGTTATATTCTTAGGATTTGATTGCTTCCTTTTTAGTCTTTAGTCATTTTATATGCATTTCTTTTATAATCTCTTTCAGTTATCTCTCTGTGTTTGGAGTTTCTGGGGGTGTAATTGTATGTTCATAGTATGTGCAGATTCTTGATCAGGTCTGACTGCTTACTCCAGGGCTTTGTAATTTTTCATTGTGAAGTTGTCATTAGCAGGGCTTGTATTTTTTTTTTTTTTCTGTGAAAAAATCCCATGATGTTTGGGATGTGGAAGTGTCTTTTCAGAGATTTTTCTTTGCTTCTGTTTTGTATTTCAGGAGTATAATTGTTCTTCTGCTACTTTTTAGCCTGGAGTTTGTGGATTATGTGGGTAGAGTAAAAGCAATGTGAAATGTGGTCCTGTGGTTTTGATTCTCAGAGAGCTTTTCTTCTTTTTCCCCACCCAAAATCCTGTGTCCTGTGGTCTCTCTTGCTTTGAAATCCTTTGATAAATAAAATAGTCCTTTGAGGGTCTTGGCTTTATTCGAAGTGCTCAGTTCCAACTCCCTACTTCCCAAAGTCCAAAGCCTCATTTCCTACCCCTGGCAGGTATTAACACCAAACCCCTAGGTTTTGGAGACAAATACCCCCCATTAACTCCAGCACTCACCCCTCTGCTTTTTCGCTTTCCTCTTTGTTTCTGTCACCCAAGGATTTGCTTTTATGATTTGTGAGCCTACCTGTATACTTAAAATAATTATGTTATATTTTACTCAGTCCTAGTTGATTATAGTGAAAGGATTTTCAGATTGTCTGAATCCACCAAATTGCTAGAAACTGACATAGACTTTTTGTATCCACTTCTATTTGTTAATGACCTTTAGGATTCATATGTGGGCAATGAGTGTTCGTTCATAATATGCCATGGTGCATGCATTATGCAGTGTGTCATTTCCTGGACCTCAATTTTTAAACTTTGGTAACACTTATTTCTGACTAATTCCCTCTTAATGTTGGACCTCTTTTTTCCCCCATAAATTGGATAATATTATACAATATTTTAAATGGGCACACTTTTTTCTTTCCACCTTTCTTCTCCCAACATAAGTATCACTCTCATCATTGCTTCTCTTGCACCTGAAGAAACCATGTTGAGCCTCCCATATTTTAATCTGCTCCATGTAAACCTACTCAAACCTGTATGTGTCCTCCTATGTGCTTATATTTACATACACAGTAATATGCAATCAAGGTGACTTTTGTATGCTGTATAAAAATTAGGTTATCTTATACATAATTTTCTGCACTCTGCTTTTCTTAACCATACCTAGTTGAAATCCCTGCAAACTGTAATGGCTCTAATTCTTTCTCTTGTTTGAGTATGCAGATCATATTGTGCTTCTTAGTGAAATTTCATGACGAATTCATCTGTGTAACCAGTACCCAGAACTTCAGTAGTATTCCAGAACCCTCCTTGTGCCTCCTTCTGCTTATCTCCCCATGCCCTCTACTCCCTGCCCAAGGGTAACCATCATCCTGACTTGTAAGAGCTTAGAGTTTTTTTAGCCTGTTTTGTGAGTTATCTGAATGGAGTCATCCATTGCATACTCCTGCACAGTATTATATTTATGTCATTCATAATGTTCACTTACCTGTCCTTTGTTCATTCTGGTTGCTGTATATTATCCCACTGTGTGACCAGACCAGGATTGATTGGTTGTACTAATGATAGGATTTGGGGTGATTATGGACAGTACTGCTAGGAACACTTTTTCATCAATTTCTTCTGAATTTAATCTTAATCTATACAAGATTGAGTGTAATGGAGGACCACATTTTACTCAGTTATCCATCTTCCCTTCAAGGAGTTTGTTTTCATATATGTGTGTGTATGTTCTTCCATATGGGTATTCTGTCATTCCACCCTTACGTATTGAATAGTCCATGTTTTTCCCACCCAAGTGAATGACCATGTTTACCATCCCATACTAATATCTCAAATATAATAGTATTTAATTCTAGATTTTTCTAGATGCTTCCATTTTGTTGTTTGTGTTCTTTATTTTTTACTGTTGTTGTTGATTGATCTGACTTTTGTAGCTTTATAGAATTATCTGATATCTGGTGAGACAAGTCCCACTGTTCTTTTCATTTGGTTTCCTAGCTAATCTCAGACATTTATTTCTCTTTATGAGCTTTAAGACAAATTTATACAATTACAAGAAAATCCCTGTTAAGATTCTAACTGAAAATGAATATAGTATATATATTAACTTGCAAAATTTTATGTTTTTTGATATTAACTATTCCTGTCTAGGAACAATTGTAATTTTCCATGTGTTCATAAATTGCTTTTTATCTTTTAATATGGTATTAGAGGTTTCCTTTTATGGTTCTTACAGCTCTCATTAAATTTATTCCTAAATATTTGAGTATTTTGCCACTATTACAAATAGGAAAACTTATCCCATTTGCATTTCTAAGTACTTATAGTTTGAATAAAAATGGAAACTATCTGGTACTCATCCTCCTTACTAATACTAAATATTAATTCTAAAAGTGTTTTGATAGGTTCTCTCATGGTAGACAATTGTAGTATCAGCAGAATTAGATTATATTTCTTCTTTTAGAATTACACAGATAAAGCAAACAAAAGTAAAGAATGCCCAGTTAAATACAAGTTTCAGATAAATAATTTTTTAGGATGCTAGTTTCAAATATTGCTTGGGATATACTTATCCTAAAAATGTATTCATTCATTTGAAATTTATTTTAACTTGGTGTTTTGTATTTTATCTGGCAACCCTACTTCTTTCCCAGTGATTATACCTGCTGTTTTATTTTCTTCATATGTTGCATTTGGTAAGCCTTTAAAGACAGTGTTTCTAATCCTGGGTTGTGCATTAACATCAGTCAGTAAGTGTTTTTAAAAGATTCTAGTGCCAGGCCATTAGGTTCAGAGATTGAATTTGGTATGTATTTTAAAAGGTTCCCACTAGATTCTGATGGGCGTCTGGAATCGAGAGGTAGGTACTGTCCCAAAACAGTGCTCAATAGTAATGGTGTTAGTGTGCATCCTTGTCTCCGCCTTGGCTTTAGTTAAATCTTTCGAGTGTTTGACATTTAAAATAGTATCCTTAGTTTTTTTGTTTTGTTTTGTTTTGTTTTTTACATGGTTTTCATCTATTCCTATTTTACTTAAAGTTTTTATTAGGAGTAGCTGCTTTTATCATTTATTCATGTTTATTTGACTTTCTGAATATTGATATAAAGAGTCATAGGTTTCTCCATGTTGGAGCATTTTCTAATTCTTTTACTTTATGCCAGAAACTGTTTGCAAATATGTCATTCAGAACTTGCAGTTCTATTTATAATCAATCAAATTGAGTTTGAGAAAGTATTACTGTTGCAACTTGTCTGATACTGGTACTTAAGTTATGCCAGTTTCATAAGAGAAGCTGGGAGCTTTATATCGTTTTCTCCTACTACCTGAAATATTAACTTCTTGCTACTCAAATTGTGGTCCCTAAACCAACAGCATCTGTCTGCCTTACCTGGAAGCTTATTAAAAATGCAGAGTCCCAGGCCCTGCTGCACACCTACTGAATCAGAATATGGATTTTAAGCAGAACACCAGGTCATTCGGATGTGCATTCAGTTTGAGAGAAGGAGGTGCAGAGAACTTCGGACTCGTCTGCCAAAGGTTAGATAAAATTCAGCTGGGGACCTATGTGGTTTTAGTATCCTTTTCATTGTTGACAGCTGCTCTCCTTCCCAGCTTCATCTGTACTCTGATCTCCTTTACTTTGGTAGCTTCAGTTTTGCAAGGAAGTTATTAATTTCCTTTAAGTTGTTCCTATTCAATTGTCCTCTATATATGTTGTGGTTCTTTTCATCTCTTCTAAGTCTATGATTATGTCATTTTTCTCAGTCCCCTCTTATAAATTTCTGACTCTTTTTTTCCCCTTAATCTGCCTTGCAAGGGACTGTAAGACTATTGTTTGTCTTTTATAAGTGCCAGTGCTTACATATATTTTTCATTTGGATTATTTTGGGAAGGGCATTTGTTTTCTGTTTCATTTGTTTCAGCATTTATCTGTACCAATTCTCTCTTCTGATTTCTGTTAGTTTATTATCTTACTGTTCTTTTTCTAATTTCTTAAGACTGGCATATATTATAATTACACTTTTTTTAAATAATGAAGATATTTAAGGCTATAAATTTCCCTTTAAGACTTGCTTTCACTCTTCTATAGGTTTTGGTATGAAATGCTCTTTTTTATTCACTAGTTTCTTGGTATTGATTTCCCCTCTAAGGGGTTTTGGGAGCATTTCTTTATGTCCACATTTAAAATATTCCATAATTTAAAGTTTCAATCATTGTTCCTTAAAAATTTAATAAGATTTTCTTTGTGGCCATGGACCTGAATTATTTTCAGACATATTTCTGATTTATGGACACACAAATGAAATGTGTAATTTCCAGTTGAAGAATGTCAGGTGCCCTGTACATGTTCCCCCAAATTATTAGCTGTATCAATCACTTCATCCATGCTCCTACTGACTGTGTTCTTTAGACAGACCCATTCTGAAAGAGGTGAATTGAAGTCTCCCTTGAACACTATTTGTATTATATTCTGTTTGGATTTCTAGAAGCTTTTTTCTTTTGCCTTATGATCTTGGTGTCGGTTGTTTAATGTGCATAAATGTATGGTCACTATATGTTCTTAATTTTACACGTACCACACAGTGTCCTTTCAGATCCTGTTTAGTGTTCGAATTTTAATTTGCTCTTTCTGCTGTTCTTGCTTTCTTGGCATTTTTCGGGTATCTTTTTGGCATTTTATTTCTAATCTTTCTTTGTCATTTTTTATGTATTTTTCTAACTTACCTAGATTTTTATTTTTTAACTTTGACAG